AACCATCTCAGCAGATGGGCTAAACCAGGTTGAGGGTAACCAACAGGCCTCAGAGCCATCAATAAATTAGGGAAATGTCTATCCCAAGCATGTAAAGACTTCCCTCAGTGAAATGGGTAGATGAGAACAGTTTGTTCCAATGGCCATGAAAGCGATAGAAGCAGGCATTGTGGAGTGCTTAGAGCTTGGTCAGACATTGAAAATGCCAAGGTCATCCACTGCATGCCGGGCCATCGCCAGTCATCTTGACTTTTGTCTTGCCTCTGGACTTCGATAACTCTGAAAGAGAGACTGACAACTTTTTGCAACTCTACCTTACTTAAATCCAAATCACCTGCAAGTCAAGACATCACCTCATGATGTCACTAATTCTCTTCAAAAGCGAGGGATGAACACAGCTCAGTTCTCAATTTCTGAGTCATCCTTGACTCTTCACTATCACCTCCTTTTTATCTGTAGGCTCAATTACAAAGTCCTTTGGCATTTAAAGCCCTTCTCAGCTTGGCCCATTCTTTTTCGGTCTTATACTTAATTCCTCTCCAAACATTCTAAGCCTAACAGTCCAGGCCTACTTTCTGTTCCTTGCCCACAACACTCTTTCTTCCAGTTCTGTCTGTAGACTGTCCTCCCCACCTAGAATGCTGTCTTTTTACCTCTGCCTCTTAGCTTTCCTGGTTTCCTTTAAGTCAGCTCAAATCCCACCTTCTGTGAGAAGCATTTCTCAGTCCTTCCTACTTTCCAATGTCCCTAGCACCTTCCCTTTGAGATTACCTTCCATCTACTCTGTGTGTATCTCTCATATCTATTTATGTCTCCCTCAAAATGTGAGTTCTTTGAGGGCAGGGCCGTCTTTTTTTGTATCTCCAGTACTTGTCTGGCACATAAGCACTCAATAAATGCTTATTGAGTAACTATGGACTGACTCTCCCTCACTTTTCATATCCAATAATTTACCAATTATTATATATTGTTACATACATACATATACACATTACATACAATCTTACATGTCCTGCCTCTGCTACATCTCTCATACATATCCATCCCTTTCTACTCATATAGCTGCCGTGCTCACTCAAGTCCTCTGGCCCTGGACTATTTTAATAGCTTGGTAATTGGTCTCACTCTCTCCAGTCTTTCTCCTGTCCAATCCATTCTCTATACAGCTACCAAATTGCTCTTCCTGAAGCACTAGTCCAGTCTTCCTTGTTCAGGAAGCTTTGCTGTATCCCTGTTAACCTCCAAAATAAATATTCTATTTAGCATTTAAAACACTTCACAATCTGACTCCAACTCATCTTCTCAGACTGATTTCACATTTTCTCCCTCTCATCTTCTACATTCCAACCCAGTTGTCCCTCACATGGAATCATCAATCTTCTGCCTTTGCACAGGCCATCTACCATGTCTGGAATATACTGCTTCCGCACTTCCATTTCTTGGAATCTTCAGTTCCCAGCAAGGTTCAGCTAAGGCCTCTCCTGTCTATGAGGTATTTCCTAATTCCCTAGGTAATAGTGCTCTCTCCCACCCTCAAAATTATTTTCTATTTACTTTTAATATATTTCATATTGACTTATCTGAGTACATGTTGTTTCTTCTGGAGTGCAAGCCCTTTTTTGTTGTTGTTCTTTGTATTCCCAGTGCCTGGCACGGTGCCTTGTATATAGAAGGCACTTAATAAATGTTTGTTAAATTAAAGTGAATGGCATTTTACTTCAATTTAACAAGTAAGTTATATAATCTTTTACAAATGAGTTTATAATTTAAACTCATTTTTCCCATTGCTGTCATATCTGCTTGCTAGATGAGGCATTTTCTAAGTTTATTCAGTCTCCTGTTGTGCCAGCTGATTTATAGTAGTTAACATTTCTTAGGAAATGGTAATGTGTGGTCCATTCTTTTATCCATTTTCCATTTTGAAGGTATTATAAGTTTGTTAAATAGTCTAGTTGGAGTTGACTCAATTATGTACCATGCTTTTTCATTTTTATAATTTCTTTTTATTTGGTATTTATTTTTATCTTTGCTTTAAAACATCAGTCCTCTGACTACATGGACAGTTGATTTGGAAATGACTTCCACTTCGTTAATCAAGTTTTTTCCTTTCTATTATAATATAATCAATTTCTTTTTTTTTATTTAATTTGTTTTGCCTCTTCAGTAAGGCGTTTATGATATATGTATGTATATGAAGCTTTTGCATAATTTCTAGGCCAAGCCCTGTTTCTTTTTCTTGAATTATGTTTTCTTTTAATTTTAAAAAAATGTGCTTTTTAAACTGCATTTTCCAGTCCCCCCCAACAAAAAAGAATTCTCTTCTGCAGAGAAAAAATAATTAAGATAAGCAAAGTATCAGTGACCACATCTGAAAATATATGCAATATTCTTCACTTGTAGTCCACTAACTCTCTACCAAAAGGAAGGAAGTGCATATGATCATTGGTCCTCTGGAGCCAAGATTAGTCATTGCATTTAATATGAATTATGATGTCTTTTAGTGCTGCAATATTTTTCAGCATGTTTTTCACTGTCCTGTCCTTTGCCAACCTTTGCATCATAGTCATTCACTATTGAAGTATATGTTGATTTAATTCAAAGGCTCTTAATGAGTAGATAAGAATTTCTATGCTTTATCATGTTCTGCAATAGGTGCTGATGTATAAACTCTACTTATCTTAAGGGTATACTTCTTACACAAATACTTATCATGAATTACTTCAACAGAAAATGACCAAGTATAACATGAAATAATTTTTTTCTACCTTTGAATAAAACCAAAGGCAATAAAAAACTTTTTTTTTTCTCCAGGAAGAACCTGTAGCCATATTTTCATTTAGCCTCAACTTCTTTTTATCTTTTGGGTTCATTTTTTTGTTAAGAATGTCAAGATTGATATACTCAGTTTCTCTGAAGTATATCTTCTTGCTAGTTACTGGACAGGAATCTCATATTTAAAGTTCCTAAACTAAGTTAGTTATCTTCTGAAAATGGAGTGATTCTTAATTAACATCCTTAGCCTCTTTTTCAGCCACTCTGCTACCATCACTGCAGGAATGGAAGAAGACTGTGCAAGACTGAAAGCCAACTGGTGTTTTACTTTGTTTCATGAGTTGTCATGGCCAAAGAGTTCATCACCAAGAGTTTAGCCTCCTAGTGAAAGACATCTCTCTCCTGAGGATCTTTTTCAAAAAGTACACCTAGAATCAAAGTCTAACTTTGGACTTTGCTGGCACAACTTTAAAGAATCTAGGATCAGCTCCATGCCATGATGATGTATTATAGTAGAGCTTTGTGTTAATAATATCTGATATTAAAGAAACACTGTAATTTTAAAAGCTCAGCAAGTGGGAGTTGGGGAGTGTCCTACCTTTTTCATATTCTGAAATAATTTCTAACCCTGAAGTCTTATAGCAGGATATTCTTTTAGTGCATTTACTTCCACAATTGAATTTACACCATCATCTTTTATAAGCAGTGCTTATATTTTAAGGTTGTTTCCATATTCTAGTCATGTTCCATCAAAGGTGGTGCCTTTTCTACAACAGAGTACTTGACAGACTTTCAGTTGATTTAATGTCCATCTTATAATTATTGACAGAAAAAATTTCTGGTTTTGCTTTTTTAAAAAGTTGCTTTTTAAAAAGTATTTAGGATTTTTTCTATTGCCGTAATGTGTATCTGGCAAAATTATGTTATGATTTCCATAGTTTGAATTAGACATTGGTTATACTATCAGTTTACAAAACTTTCTTTATCTCCTTACATAGTCTTGATTATGTTACCTAATTCTGAATTTATCAGTTAATTCTAATTAAAAATCTAGTGCTCTCAGCCTTTGTACATACATATGTGAATTCATGCAGACACAATTAGATTTTCATCTTTCTGTTCTACGAATAAATTGTTTTACACACACACACACACACACACACACACACACACACACGTACCTAATTGTGTCTAGTGGTAGCCATCTCTAAAACAGGGCAGAGCCAGAGCAGGGGAGTGGGGGGGAAAGGAAGGGAAGAAAGAAAAAGGAAAAAAATTACATATTTAAAAGAAATAGCAAGTTGTACATAGTGGATTTGCAGTTTTATGTACAATTGTCTTTTTTATTATACTATGTTTTGGAAATGCTTGTTTTATTCCATAAATTAAACATAAAATAAATTAAATTTTAAAAACGGAATCAGAATTAACTCTTTTTAGTAAAAGGAAATTTTTGCTATGGGTTAAAAGTATAGCCATAGCAAGACATATACCAGTGCCTATATATTTGTTAAGTATATTCCCCAAAACCAAAATATCCGTTTGACAATAGAGGAGCTAGACCTTTAATCCCATATTAGTCTACACTTTCTGTCTTATCATCTATGGGAGAAAAATGTATATAGTCTTACAGTTCCATATACCTCACTAGAGAGCAGCCCTTAGAAAAAAGAGTAGTTATCTGAATGAATTTTTTGGTAGCTTTTTATAGAATCTGGGTATAGACACATGTTCTGTGGCTAAACTTGGGATTCATTGTCCCAGGAAAGAAATAATTAAGTTGATTTTAAGTTGTATCTTGTCAGTGACATGATTTTATATTACTCTGAGATAAGGTACCACCATGTCCATTTGTTTCTCTTTTCTTTAATAAATTAAAATGTCAGTTTAACTAGTCTATGAGCAGATAGTTGCTTAAGCATATGTACTTCCAGGTTTAAAAAATTGGTATTCCCTAGCCTACTATATGCATGTTCCATATCCACTGTATTTTCTTATTTAATCTTTAATAGAGTGTTATTTTTTTCTCCCTAAGCAGTACACATTTACAATCTACTATCTGCCAGGCAATGGGCTAAATACTTTATAATACAGAATAATATTCTGGTTATACCACAATCTAAAAGGTTATCTACCTGTTAAAATTTCAAAATATCTCAATTTTCTTTTGCAGTAAAGCAAGTTTTCTTTTGTTAATATTTTTCTTATTTAACCTCTAATCCATGCAGAAAATTGGAGATTCGTACCGTGGTTATTGTGTAAGTGAGATAGAATTAGAAAATGTACTAACACTTCACAAGCAGCAGACAAAGACTATATGGGGGACACGCCAATCTCCAAGCCCAGCAAAACCTGCTACACGCTTAATGTGGAAATCCCAGTATGTTCCATATGATGGAATCCCTTTTGTCAATGCAGGTAAATTTGAAAAGTATTTGTAATACTTTGTTTTGCATAAGCAATTAGGTTTTCCTGAGATTATGCATTTTTACTTTGACAGATGATAATTAAGTGGTTTTTTGTTGTTTTTTTTTTTTTTTTTTTTACCTCCTCTGGTCCTGTGATTTCATTAACACGAGGAAACCCTGACTACCAATATAGGTGGGCAACTTTTCAGTAATTTGTAGTCTCAGGGTGCTTCATGGGCATTGAGAGGTTAAGTGACTTGCCTGGGGGTGCACAGCCAAGATATGTGAATTGGAACTTGAACCTGACTCTAGTGCTAGCTTTCGCTGTCCACTACTCTATATTGCCTCCCATTATCTAAATGTTGGTAGATTTAAATAAAAGTTAAGCCAAAAAGAAAACTATCAGTAAAAAAATAAAAAACTTTTTTATTTAGAAATAATCTATTTCTTAACACAAATTCATAATTTTCTCTATAGTTAGAAAAGCAGAAAAGAAAAATAATTTTCTTGACAATGTTAATATAAATTAATATTTCAAAAGAACTATGGTTTCATCAGTGTGGTTATTTCTTTTCCTGATAGATCAAAACACCTCTCGTGGTCCTCTGATGATACATAATTCTTTGCTTGGCCTCTCTTTGAAGTTTTCCCAATTTGGTGGTATTTTTGGACCCTGTTTCACTGGTGTTTTATTTAGGTACCTAGTGCTATCTCCATGTCACAGCGAAGCATCAGAATAGGCCCTTAGTGGAAAATAATTAAGTAATAGAGTAGTTATTAGTACTTAAAACAAATAATAATCATTTCCTCTGAGTTTCCTTTCTCCCATTAACATCACTGTTCTTACCCTTATATTTGCTAGAAGTTTTGGGGGGTGAGAGAAATAAATAGTTGGATTGCTATCATGGGGGCACAATATAAAAGTTATATAAAATTCTAGTATTTCACATTACATAAATATTTAAAGTATTATTGATGCTATTGAATCTTGGAATTTCTCTTGCTCACATCTCTGAAACCATATATCAGCACCACAGTTTCTAAGAACGTGGTTTGACATTATCCCAAAAGATTCACTTTAGCGCAAAGCAGGGCTTAAAATGAGTAATGTTATGGGAAGTGGTATAGTCTCATGTCTAATTTGGGAAATCAATTTGGGAATAAATTTGGGAAATGCAATACTGAGAGGATTAGATTCACTTGAAGTGTTAGAGGTGGTTGGAAGAGAGAAAAGGTACAAAACTTACTTGCTCAAGTTTTCTCTACATGAGAACATATTTAATCCCAGAGTTCTTTGCCAGGGGGGCTGTGGACCAGAATGTTTCCTTTTAGCCTTTCACCATCCTAGCCTAGGATAATGGGCTTATAATTTAAGTGTGCAATAATACAAATTGATATTCTTTTCAAAGACCCTGCCTGACAGGCTTATCATTACTCCTTGGAGGCTGTTATTTTGTTGGCTTATCAGTATAATCAATTGAAATACCATATTTCGCATTCAGTTATAAATTAACATAATGCCAAATAACATTTAATAAAAGAAAAGGATGTGTGTTCTTTTAGCTTGTTTAAATGTGTTTTGATGTGGTTCTCCTAAGGACAACTCCCACTTCTAAGCTAATTTGCTATAGTTTGGGAGTATTACCTCAACCTCTATAGCTGGCATTGTATACAACCTGTTGCCAGAACTTGATGTCCCTTGAAGAATGAGTTACGTGAGTCTGTTACTGAAAGGATGACAGAGATTGTCATCTCATGTCATCTCATCATTGTCATCGTACTTTTGGAAACACATGCTACCCTAATGGGGCTTTGCATGGGATAGGCAGTTCTTTTAATTTCTAGTAGGGGACCAAATTCTCGGGGGGTGGAGAGAGGATGCTTCAAGCATTTGGCAGGTTGGTTTTCCAAAGGGCTTAGGATACCTATGATAATTCTTCAAGGTCTGAGTTTCCCTGCTGCATTTTTTCAAGTTATTTTACTCTTAGAAGACATTGTTACTTTAAGAAACAAGTTTTGACACAACAGACACAACCCAGTAATTCTTCCCCAATGTACATTTCCTGGAGATATTTAAGCAAAATCACCTAAAAGAAGGATTACAACTTTAAATACAAATAACTTTCCATTTTTACGGCTTACTGATTGTTAATATTAAGGAAGGATATGTATTTTAAATTGAATTATTTGGTACAACATTATCTGTTGTCTTAGTTTTGTTGCCTTTTTTCATGTTGTTATTGTACATATTGTTTTTTGGACTTTGCTTTCACTGTTCTGCATTACTTTATACTTTATTCTTTGGTCTTATTTGTTAGTTCTTACAGCTCAGTAATATTCCATTGCATTCACATGCCAAAATTTATACAGCCATTGCTCAATCATTGGGCATATATTTTGCTTCCAGCTTTTTATAATTATAAATAATACTTCTATCAATATATTTGTACATATAGGCCTTTTTTGCTGCCATTAACCTCTGTGAGGTATAAACCTGGTAGTATGGGGTCTCTGGGTCTCAAAAGGTATGAGCAATTTAATAACTTTTCTTACATAATGTATAATTACTTTTTATTATGTCCTCCTTGTTCCCTCAAAAAGTCTCCTTCTCAAGGAAAAAATGACTTGTATAAACCAGGTTCCTATTAAATTTGGAATGGGACCTTTGGGTAATATTTTTAAAAACTGGAGCCTCTTACATCTCACCACCACACCAATATATACTTTCCTATTCCTAAGGATATACAGGAATCATGATTTTAATACTGGAAGGGGACCCTGGAGATTATGTAATGTAAACCTGTCATCTCATGGGGGAAACTAAGGATTTCATGTTAGGAAAAATCTAGTTTTGATTCTCGCCTCTGACATGTGTTATCTTTGAGACCATGGGCAAGGCCCTTATCCTATCTGGGCCTTCATTTCCTTCCTTCAGAAGTGGTTGGGAGGATCAAGTGAGATAATGGATTTAAGGTTCTTGGTAAAGCTACAAGTGCTATATAAATATTAGTTATTTTTATTATTTGTAATTTTCATAACTAAAAAGATCTCTTGCGATAAAATAGGATATTCAGTGAAATAGAATATTCAGCCAAAAAACTTAAACTTTATAAGAAGTTTTCACAATTGTTTAGTCTGTTAGCTATTGTCAAAGGTATCGCAGTTAGAAAACACAATGAACAAAAAGATTTGTCAATTTTAAAGATGTGTTATTTGCGTATAAAGTGTCTGGTATGCTTTATGATAAAGAAAAAATGGGGACAAATATGCATTAATCTGAACAAGATACAGTTTGCGTTCCCAACTAAGCTTAGTTGGGCACCCACAGCTATCCTTTCTCCCTAAAGTGATAATTATGAAAAAGACTCATTGCCATTGACAACTTATTTTTCAACTTAGTGGCTAGAACAGATGGATACTTGAATTAATGACGTAATAGTTGGTATCTGTCCATAGGGAGCAGAGCCATAGTGATGGAATGTCAGTTTGGGCCAAGGAGGAAAGGTTTCCAGGCCAAAAAAACTGGAGAGCAGGAAAGCACCTCCTCCTGTCACCTCTACAAAGCCACTTGTCCAGCACGGTAAGCTTCAGCTAGACTAGGACCCCATGTAGTCAGGAGCATACCACTATTATTAGAAGCATAAAAAGACTGAGAATCAGAAGAATTTAATAAGTTTTTAAAATGTTACTTTGTTATTTTTGTTCAGGAATTGAAAGTGTTCCTCAGAACTTCATAAAAAAGAAAAGCAAAAATGGAAGAAACTAGTAAATGGAATTTTGTGGGACTTTGTAATATTTTATTTTAGCATCAGATCTCATATCACAAAATATTCTAAAAATACTATTAACTAAGTTGATAGGAATTTTCATATTTAAGCTGATAACATTAATTTTAGGCAATATTTATATTTAAATCTCAAAGGAAATTAAAAAAATTTTTTTGACATTCGGAGGGTATAAAAATTTAAGCTTCTATATAATTTTCAGTGAGTTAGCTTCAGGTCTGACATGGTGAGGAAATAATATTTTCTCCATAAATCAACAAATATTTACTGAGTGCCTGCTATTTCCTTAACAAATTGCTAGATACTAGTAAATATGAAAGTATAAGATGATATCCATGTCTATGAGGAACTCATAGTCTTGTTCAAGAAGCAAAGTACACATATGAAACAATTTGAAAACAAAACAATTCAATTTTGATATGCATGAGAGAATATGGTGTGACCTGAAGTTATCATAGGGAACACTTCATAGATGTTATATAGCCCTTGAAGAATGGGATTTGGAAAAGAGCCAAGGTGTGTGTGTTGGGGGGAAGGGGTATCCTAAAAGATCAAAAGAGGAATGAGCATGCTATGTTGGGGGACTGTACAGAGATTGGTTTGAAGAAGCCAGAAGCAGAAATAAGGCTGGCTAAGTCACTGGGATCAAGTTATAGAAGACCTTGAACACCTAACTGAAAGGCTCCGATTGGATCAAAAGACAGTAAAAAAGCATTGTTGAAAGAGTGTGACATAATGAAGCAAAATATCAATTTGGCTTTGTTGTGCAGAATGACTTTGAGTAGGGCTTGACTGGAAATAAAAACAGCTAGTAGATTATTAAAGTAATTACAAAATTAGGACAGGTTGTAGTAGTAGTAGAAAAAAAGGTCAGAAAAAACTGTTCAAATTATTGGCTAAATTGCTGAAGTAGCCCCCAGAAATGATCATTATTAGGCGTTCATGAAGGTTTATGTAGTATGTAGTGTTCTACACTGAAAAGTAACCTTTTGTGCTTAATTTATTTTTTAAAAATCTCTAAAGAGGTATAATCAGTGTTCATGTTTATATATCCACATGTATACATGCATGGATATTATACCTAAAGGTGGTATGGTTGATAATTTAGAATTCCCTGTGAATATTATATAATAAACTATCACCATCCTTTCATTTTTATAGGATTTACATTAAAAAGGTACAAAAATTCCCTGAGTATCGAGTTTCTACTGACCCCAAAATTGACAGGAAGATCATCAGAATGGAGCAGGAGAAAGCCTTCAACATGCTGAAGAAGAATTTGATTGATGCTGGAGGGGTTATCAGGTATGAGTTTCACACTCTCTTTTGACATTTTCAGTTTGCCAGACAAATTGCCAGAATCTCTCTGCAAGTAAATGTCCAAGGAGGGCAGTTTATCCGTTTTTTCTAGCTTGTTTTTTTTTTTTTAAGAAATATTCTCACTAGTAGTTTGCTAAGGATAAAGATGATTTTTCTTTGTGCCGTTCTTGGAATTTTTAGATGGTATCACAAGTAGGCATGAGCAAAGAGTTTTGCAAATCTAAACTTTTTTTTCAAAATGATCTAGTTTTAGTTCTTATAACCAGATTAAAAATCCCAACTTTGGTTTTACTGATGACAACCAAAAACAGAAAAAAAGGAAAAAGATGATTGAGTTTAAGTAAGTTATTCTGTTTCCTTAACAGAAATTTTACCTGACAGCAATTTGCTACAATGTGATAGACGCTAACTGCAATAAGATAAGAGCTTAACATGATACATTGCCCTCACCCTTAATGCTTTAGATATTAAATAAGAAAGTAGCATTAGCTTTATCTCTAAATTTCTCACTTTTGTTAGCTTAGGCCAGGTTTGATTGTTGTTATGTAACCATGGAATATCCTGCTTTCATGTGGCCTTTAAAAGATTTAGTTACATGGGAAATGAGCAGAATGGAACCTTCTTTTGATCCAATGTGTGTGATACTGTAAGTAATTTTCATTTCATCAAGTTACCATTGCAAACATGTAGTATAAAAACATCAATTAAAATACTATCCTTCAAAGCTAGTTCATTTGCCTAGTGGCTACTTTCTGCATTGCCATGCAAGAGACCTGTGTTTGATTTCCAGTTGATTCTCTTGCTCATTGGGCCAACAGGAGCTGGGAGTGCTGTGGAGGCAGTGTTGTTGAGCCCCTGTGAGCGAAGAGTATCCCATATAGCTCAGCAGGCTCTGAATCACATCCAGTCTTTGGATGAAAGGATGGTAGGTGCAATGCAGAAGCTTAATTGGGGCAAAATGGAGGGTAAATGGGGTGATACCCATTTCAGGATATGATGGTTGACATTATTGCCTTTTTATTGTGAGGTAAAATTCTAGTGATATAGAACTTAATATAAAATTACTTATGTATAATACTTTGATCCCCACTACCTCTTCAATTTTTGGTCTATCACAAGGTCTGTAGAGATTTATAAAGGTTTTTGTTTGATTGGGATACAATCTGACAGAAGTTGAACAGAGCATATATTATAATTTGTTATAAAACTGTGTCACCATGAAGTTTTGTCTTACTAGACTTCTTTTCTTGATAGTTTGAGTAGAAATGATTTTTCTTATTTCTGTTTTATACCTTCATTTAAAATTTTTCCTCTTTATTAGGTGGTATGTACAGTTGCCCACCCGAAAGGCTCATCAATATCATGAATTGCAGAAACCTTGCCTCATTCCTTCTCCTTCCCCTCTCCTTGTTTCTTCACTTGAGAATGAGGAGGATACAGTTCGGGATGAGAACTCTACGTTATCCTCACGTCTACATCCACAAGTAGCAGATAAAATCAGAGAACTGGTATCTCAGGGAATAGAACAAGTCTATGCAGTGAGGAAACACCTCAGGTATAGTGGAAACAAGATATTGGGTTGTTTTTTTTAAGATGTTGGTTTAAAGTTAAGTGTTCAATATCTGTACTTACTCTCCCTTCACATAACTACCACTCTGGGTCATGCCCTCATTACCTTGTGCCTGGACTAGGATTGTGGATTCCTCATTGGTCTCCCTTCATTGGTCTCTCATACATCATCACACAGGTGCCCACATAATCTTACTTAAGGCCATTTAAGACCAGTGGTTCCTCATTGCTTATAGGATAACATACAAACTCTTTAGTTTTGCATTTAAAGCCATTTACAATTAATTTGGTTCCTACTACCTCTCTAACTTTATTTCATATTACTGCCCTTTACAGATCTCTGTTGTAGTCAAAGTGGACTTTTAGTCATTCCCAGAACTCAGTATTCCATCTTCTGCCTCCATATGTTCTTTTAAGTTCTTATTCCCAGAAAGCTCTCCCACTTCATCTCTGCCTCCTAGTTGCCTTGTCTTCCTTTCTGACTCAACTCTGGTGTCAACTTCTTGTTAAAGCTTTCTCCCTCTTAAATTTTCCTTTTATTTTACTTACCTGTGCACATGTTATATCCCTCTAGTTACAGGGGCAGGGAACCTGCGGCCTCGAGGCCACATGTGACCCTCTAGGTTCTCAAGGGTGGCCCTTTGAATCCAAACTTTACAGGACAAATCCCCTTAATAAAAAAATTTGTTCTGTAAAACTTGGATTCAGTCAAAAGGCTGCACCCGAGGACCTAAAGGGCCACATGTGTCCTCGAGGTAGAATGTGAGTTCCATGATAATAGGGACTGTTTTGTTAATGTCTTTGTATCCTTGTACCTGACATATCATGGGTACTTAATAAATAATGATAATATTGATAATAACTAGCATTTATATAATATTTAAGGTTGCAAAGTATTTTATATGTTATCTCTTATCCTCACAACCCTGTGAATTATAGGTGCTATTATTATCACCATTTTACAGGTGAAGAAATAGAAATTAAGAGTGGTTGAGTGACTTGCCTGGAATTACACAGTGTCTGAGGCAGGATTCACATTCAGGCCTTCAAGACTCCAAATCCAGTGCTCTATCCAATGTGCCACATAGCGGTTGAGTCCCTTTCACCAAGTAGATAAGCAAGATGTCATTTTATTAGAAAATATAACTCTTCCTGAGCCAACAGTTTCCCAGCAGTCTTGGCAAATCACAATTTCCAGCTCTGTATACAGTATTCAAATCTAGCAAATTTGACTGTCTGTAAACTAACTTAAAATAGTGCTTATGTAAGGGGCAGCTAGGTGGCACAGTGGATAGAGCACTGGCTCTGCAGTCTGGAGGACCTGAGTTCAAATGCGGATTCAGACAATTGACACTTAGTAGCTGTGTGACCCTGGGCAAGTCACTTAACCCCATTGCTAACCTCCCCCCAACCAAAAAAAATTGTGTATATGTCAAGTCACATTAAAGTAAAAATAATCACATAAAAATCTGTGCACTCAAGACTAAGACCTACCCAGCGGCCCAAATATTTCAAATATTTCACATAATACTTAATGAGGGCACCTTTTGTGGCAGTCCCTTTATAATGGATGAATTTGGATGGTCTCTTTTTAATGGAAATTGACCTGTAGATTTCTGTTCAGAATTCTGTGATATGCAACAAATAATTAAACTTGTTCACTTAAAATTAGGTCATTTGAGAACCAGAAGGCTTGTTCATCATTTTAATAATAACAGTAATGGCTGGCATGTATATCATACTTTAGAGTTTACAATACACTTTATATGCATTATTTCATTTGCTTTTATTAGCTTTGGGAGGTAGGTACTTAAACATATTACTATGATTTGCATTTTACAGATGAGTGCCGAGGTTCAGATAGTTTTTTCATGCTGAAATTTAGCAACTCGTCCGTTAGGGTTCAAAATCAATTAGTGATCCTTACAATTCGGGCTGATGCTTATTATCCTCTTATACACTGCTTTGGGGAAATTCCAATAACATTTCTGCATGAGTATTTATAGATCCTTCTGATCAGCAGTCATCTTAGCATTTTTTTACTCACTTCATATTTAATATATGCTAGAGTAGGGATTCTTAACCTTTTTTGTGTCATGGACCCCTTTGGCAGGCAAGTAAAGCAACTCTCTTAGGATAATGTTTTTAAATGCATAAAATAAAATACATAGTATTACAAGAGAAACCAACTATGGTTTGAAATATGTTTACCAAAAATTTTTTAATACAAGTTAATGGATTCCAGGTTAAGAATCCCTGCATGAATATGACGTGTTAAAATCCAGAATTTAGTAAACCTCAAACCCTATTCTTTAGAGACTTCCTAATAGTATCAGAGGAGCTTTGTTATAATAGAGTCTCACCTAGAAAAGATTGTTTAAGTGCAAACTCTAAGAACAGTGTGATAGCATGACATGAATATATTTTCCATATTAACTAATATGTTACTTAACTAATATCATGGTTTATCTAATAATGGCTCCAGTTTTCTATGTGTATGCTCTTTTTCATCATGTATTTCACATTTAATTGGTATAATTACCATTTTCTAACCATATCTCTTTCTGTACATTATGTTTCGTATACTATTCCATTCCACTCAACTGTTTCATTGATCCTCCCTTGGTCTTCCTGGGGCAGAAAAGATTTATTCTTTTCAATTATGCCTGTAAAATGCCAAAATAGTTTATGTGTAGCCATTTGGAGAAAGAAAGTATTAAAGTTTTCTCATCCATATGGGTTCTAGAACACTTTATTGTAGAAAAATTAAAAGTGGGAAAATATTAAAAGGTTATGGAGTTAATAAGCCATACTTTATATGGAAAAAAATCTTTCTGGTTTTGGTTTCGTATGTTTTACATTATTTTTCCCTTTTTATATATTCACAGAAAATTTGTAGAGAGGGAATTGTTCAAGCCTGATGAGATACCTGAAAGACATAATTTGTCCTTTTTTCCAACTGTGAATGACATAAAAAACCACATTCATGAGGTACAGAAGTGCTTGAGAAATGGGGAGATGGTGTATAATTCAGAAACTCCTCCAGCTATGGTATGATTGGAAGTGCATTTGATTTCTTTTGTGGTTCTTACTTAGCTTACTTTTGCTGTTGTATCTATAATAGGTTCCATTCATGATGTTAATCAGCATTTAGTTTACTTCTTAGAATTTATTTGTAGCAGAAATAAATAGATTGTGAAAAAAAGTCACTCTGAAAATGTATGTTCTTCTCTTAAGTTTATAGAATTGTTTTCTTGACCAAGTAGGACTAACAGTTTTTTCATTTAAAAGCCTAGGCCTGAATGTTTTCTTTATGAAGGAAATTATAAATATAAATGAGTGTTAATAGAAGATAATGGATAGGGTTCTTATATATCTGGAGAATTTTAGGCATAGCTCTGCCTAAATCCCTGAAGATAGATGGATTACCAGATTTCTCTTTAATAACAATATTACTTCAGAGACTCATAGAATCACAGAGTTACAAGATCTACTCCAGTCCCATTATTTTAGACTGAAGAAATTGAGGCCATGAGTGATTAAATGACTCATCCCAGTACAGACAAGTGGTACTTAATTATTTTAATTTTCCAAACAACTTATTGATGTAAATTTATTTTAATTATCTTAACTGTGACTAAAAAAGTTTTCCCTAGATTTTACTGATGGTATAGTTAGAACAGTGAAATTAGGAGGCAGATTTACCTGCACTTGTACCTATAAAATAATGAGACGGATTTTCATTTGTGGCTCACACAAAGAAGATAATGAACTCCATCCTACTCTGTTTTCAGACCCATACCACACAGATCTGGTATATCTGGATTTTCCCAGATCTTCTGGCCTGGAAAGAATGAAAACTCATTTTCATATTAAGTCAGATGAAATGTGTAGAGTTACTAGGTGATTAAGAGGCATTTTAACTGAAAAAACAGAGCTTGAGAGATAAGGTTGTAGGGTTTAGATTTAGGGCTGGAAGGGTCCTCCCAGTCATCAGCAAGCTTTTACTGAGTGCCTGGGATACAAAGAAAGGCAAAAACCAATCCCTGCTCTCTAGGAGCTCACAGGATAATGGGAGAGAGAACATGAAAACACCTATGTTCAAACTCATTTTAGAGAAGGAAACAGAGGCCTGGCGTGGTTAAATGACTTGTCAACCCAAGGTGTCAAAACCCAGGGCTACTCCTTCATTTACCCTACAATCTTAGTGAGATTAGGTTTAGGATCCCAACCCTAATCCTTTCTTTAATCCATTTCTCTACTTATCCATTAGCCTTTTGATAAGGGAAGAGAGATAAGAGGAGTTACTGGAATAGTGGGGCTTCAGGTATTAATGATTTCTTCTTGGTACTTTTCAGATGGGGTACCTTGCATATTGAAGGTGATTGCAAATTTCTAGGTACACTTGAGGAAAAAGAATATGTCACAGTGGAATATTATTTTCTTACAACTTTTGGAGTCATTCTCATTACTTTTTACCTTATAAAACTTTTATCACTTTTGCAGCGACATTGAAATCTTGAAAGTTATGCAGAAGTTATCAGTATTTTTGCTTTGTAATAGATTGGCAATGGTCATAGCATAATAATCAAATTAACTTAAACACCCAGACATGAAGAGAGCAAATGTATACTAAAAGATAACTGCAATTGGAAAAAACGTAAGGGATAACAATTAATTACTGATAATTTTCAATGTCATTCCTTTTATATGTATATTTTCATATGTTTATTTTTCATTTCAGTTCCAATGGACCACCGACAGTGGGAACATTCTCACAGAGACTGTAACAGTTACATTTGCATCACCATCCACTGAGGGTAGGCTCATGCTGAATATCATTAAAATGCACTTTTAAATGTATCTAAACAATTCCAAATTCCCCTGAAGATCAATTTCCATGTTTTCTTATGAATAAAAAAGATAATTAGTGGCTAACTAGAGGGCTAAGAGAGTTCTACCAGCAACCACTTTGAGGTAATTTGAACCAAAAAGGTCTCTTTGACCCAAACGTTAAGGTCTTTTGATTTCTTTCTTTTTTTTTTTTTAATTTTTTTTGCTTTCCTCTTTCTTTTTGCAATATGTTGTTACTTTTTTTTCTTCCAACTTTTGTCTTTCAAGAGTCTTTTCAGACATTGGTTATCATGACATAAAAAAGCTTTGTGCCTATATACCACAGTGCTGGTTAATATACATGATAGGCATAGTGTTATTGATTGGTTACTGATTATTATGCACATTTTGTTGCATATAAGATGTGGCAGCAAGAGAGTGAAAATTTTAAGTCCTGGAATTAGTTATAAAGGGACATTACAAAATCTCTTTTCTAAAGCTCTTAAAAAAAATGGATAGGGGTCTTATATATCTGGAGAATTTTAGGCATAGCTCTGCCTAAAAACATGAAGAATGGACTGACACGATCTTAGAAAGTTTTTCAAACCAGTTGAAGTGATGAGGGACTGGAATAAATTGCCCTGGAATTCAATAGAAACAGTTCTTGTTTTAACAATTTATTGGTAATGTGATATACTTTAGGAAGCTCACCAGGAGAATCGATTATCACTAAAGTGGAAGCAGATCAGACAGAGGAGTCTTTGTCTGCAGAGACAGCCCACTTGCTCTCTTCACTCTCTTCACTTCAGCCCAAAATGTTTGCACAGTTGCAGGTAGGTGTTCAACAAAGCAGCCAAGTTTAATTATTTCCATTCAGATTTTCAAAAAATTTATATTTTCTTTTTTATTCTTTGATAGAAAGGTTATGATAATTTTCACAGAAAATTTTTTCCTTATATATTCCCATTTTACAAATAACTTAGCATCTTTTACATTGATTGAAGATATATTGAATATGAGTTGAATTAAATATAAATACAGTGAAATTTAGTTCTCACCCCTTTTCCCCTCTTAGTATCATATGATAAAGAATTTTAGAGGAAGGAACTTAAACCAGTATTCTTTTTTTTTTTTGTCCCAATCAAATGTCTGAATGACAAACAGTATCCTGTAAGAAAAAAAATGCTTAAGTTAAACATTTTGGTAACTGATTTTTATGTTTTACAGGGTTTACAGTTACAACCAGCGTTCACCTCTACTGATGGCACAACTGCTTTGATATCAGTAAATAGCCACTCTCATTCTACTTCTACAAACCTTCTGGATTCAGTAGAAAGTGCTGTAATGAACCATTCTGTCGTGTTCACTCAAGGACATAACCTTCAAGCAGGAGCCTGCCTGACACAGAACCATCCGGCTTCCTCTACACTGGGTAACCTTCCTGGACCAGATCAGAACCTTGTTACAATGGGCCAACTGGTAGCAGTTGGAGGTGTTGAGGATACAGGAAGCCTGGAAGGTAGTGTTCATCAGATTTTTTTGGGAGATGTACAAACCATTCCAATCAGGATTGTGAACAGCCACCCAACTCTTAGTAAGTCAAAACCAGCCTATATTGTTACAACTTTTAATATTTATAATATTAGCAGTATACCAAAATATGCAAGAAAAAAATTTATAATCTGCTCAGTGGATTTACAATCTCAACAGAGTAAGTTAAATAAGACTGCAAAAGAAAGAGGAAAAAAAATTTCACGACTTAGAATTAAACGTTTATTTTATTTTCCTCTGCTTCTTTGTGTTGTTCTTCTCAACTTCTTAGTTCAAAAATTGAAATAAATAAATCTAATCAAAACTAAAATCAATAAAGGCTCAAAAATTAAATCAATAAAGGCACAAAACCAATAAAAATTTTCAAGGGTGGTTTTGAAGGTATGAAGAGTAATGAATAAAAATGAAGAAACTTCTAATGGGAAGATAAAGGATGAGTAATAAATACAAAGTGAAGGGAATGAGGTACTTCAGGGAAGAAAGGGAGAAAAAGTAGAACTGACATCAGTCAAATTGTGAGGAAGAAAAAGAAATAAGAATTTTAGCCAGGAACCACCACGGTTGAGTTCTATGGCCCAGTAGATCTGAAAGTGATGAATGAACCCATTTTCCCCAGTTACTGGAAGAAGTAATGGGCTTTATCACTTTCAAGCACACTGTCAGCTGCAGCTCAGAGGAGTAGATTCTTCCTTTCTTTTCTTATTGGCAGCAATTTACTTGTCTGAAGTCTGACATCTAGGGTGGACAAACCACCAGTGAAGGTAGCAGAGAGGAAAAGAAGGGACTCCTGTGTCCACTGCTTTTGTCTTAGGATTGTTGCAGGTGTGTGAATTTTTCTTTCCTAAAACAGACATCAGACTCAGCTGCTGCAAGCACAGGTAATAGGCACAGCTTGCAGGAGTAGTAAAATAGCACGGGAAATAGAAGACTGTGTAACATTTTACAGACATGGAAAGTTCATGGGTTGGCCACAGTGATTTCAGAGAGAAAAGGAAGGAATAGTATAGCTATAAGAAAAGACATTCAACATGTCTCCTCATATGGAAGTGATCAGCGACTCATCAGGAACTACAAGTTAGAATGACCAGCTGTAACAACTTAAAAGAAACTAACAGTAGAAAAGTCAATTCAATCAACAGGCATTCATTAAAAACTTAGGATGAGCCAAGCTTTGGGCTAAGCCCTGGGGATTCAAAGACAAAAGTGAAAACGTCCCAGTTTTCAATAATAGTCAGCATTTATGTGGCACATTAGGGTTTGCAAAGCATTTTACAAATACTATCTCAATGTATCCTCCAACAACCTTGGAAAGTAGGTGCTATCATTAGCCCCATCTTACAGATAAGAAAACTGAGACGGACAGGTTACATGACTTGCCTTGAGTCACACAGCTCGTAATTGTCTGAGGTGACATTTGAACTCAGGCCTTTTTGACTCCAGGTCCAGTACACTATCCACTGAGTAGCCTACCTGCTGTCTTCAAGAATGGAATAAGATAGTATCTCCATAGAAATAACTGAAAGTATAACTGCATTTCTCAGAGATTTAAAGTGAGAATCATTTTTTTAGATCACCTGTTTCTGGCAATGAGTTTTTATTATCAGCCTTAGAAATGATGTGCTTTCCTTCCTGGATAGACACAAGTGGCAACATTGATTTTCAATAGGGCATAAACTCTCAATTGTCCTTTCAATAATGGTAGTGAATTTGTATGATGCCTTCACGTTATGGTCCACTCTCCCTTAGAAGTCAGTGGCACGCATATGAGAGATTTGTGGGCAGGCAGAACCAGAAGTATAATCCTAGCTGACAGCCTCAGCTTCATTAACATCATGCTCTAACCAAATTATCCAGTCACACACAGACAGTATAAGATAATGTTTGTTAAAACTGATAATTACTATTAGCTGACCTCACTGGAGCACTTCCTTTTACTCAAATTGTTGAATTGGATATTTTTAGGAAGAATTTTTACAATTTTATTGAGAAAAACAAAAATATACACTGCAGCAACTGTTCTTAAACTACATCCTCATCTCCATTCTTATTGATTTTTTTCCCTATTCACTTTTTAATTGGAAAAACTGTGATAATTTCCTTCAGAAAACATTAATTTTTTTAAAACACTGACTGAAATAGTTTTAAATACTGTCTAGCTGACTAAAAGCATCTCACTTATATGTCATTGAAGAATACTAAGGGCTCAAAACCTTGGCCAGGGGGCTCCTGAGAGGTCTATTCAGTGGTAGACCTAACAAGACAGCCTTTTTGAAATAATACTCCCAGGAATTCTTGAATTGGATTAGAATTTGAGGGACTAGTTGAACTTGATAAGAACTCCCAGAGCTACTCAAACCAGACAACCAGTGCTTCTCTCTTGTCAGGATAAAGGCTGACATGTGCTACACAGATATATATTTGTTACGTGTAACTCTCCCTTTCAAGAACTGTATGGTTGCTTTAACCTCTGTTCTCCTCATCAGCTGAAAAAAAATTGATATCTCAGAGAGAGATGAAGATTTCATATCAGATCTCCTACTTTCCTGCTTTCAGTAGTGTTGCTATTATGTACTAACTTAGATTTATTTAGTTTAAACTATTTTGAAATCAGTTTAAGGTTGGAAATTATACACACTGAAACCCTTCGTTTTTCTGGTAGAGCAAATGAACAGTGCAGATAGTGAAGTTAAAACATTCTTTAAAGATGCAAAATTTTATTTTCCAAATTAGGACAAACACTAGAGTTACCTGATCAACAGAAAATTTCCATTAACATGTAACTACACAAGCATGGAAACCTCTATAATAAAAAGGTTGTTGAAATGGTACCACACATAAGTATTTGCTACATATGTTTTCTAACTGTATAAAGTTTCCCTTCAAAGAAAAGGAATTCTGTTGCCTTTTATTCACATTAATATTCAGTGGCATCCTATCTTCAAAAACTAATTAGGCCGACAAACATCTGTTTGAAAAATGTTACTTATTAGGGCTTATTTTTTTCTCATTTAATAAGCTGGTTAATCTTAGAAGATATTTAGAGGAGAATAGCTTTATAGTTTTGTCTACATTCCCCTCTCCTTTTTTCGTTGTTAGTTATGTTCAAGAAATATAATTCTTTCATCTTTTCACACAAAAAATGAATGATATGAATGTTATAAGTCACAAGTTTGTTGCATTCTCAAGTATACAACCTAGGGTTTAAATTACTATTTTAAACTGTTGTGCTTGGCCTCTAAAAATGTCATTCTAAAGAGCTTACTGTTGTTAAAAGTACTGACCTTAGTCTGTCTTTTGTTTGTTTTTAAAGTTGAAGAAAATCTACAAGGTACTTTTTCTGTGAGTCAAGTTAAAGAAGAGCCCAGTGAACCAACATTATCTGAGCAAGCAAATAATATCCTGGACAGAAATACCTCATCCATGGTTTAAGTTTTTCAAGACTTTTTAAGGCTTAAAATTTTGAAAAATTCAACTCTCTTGGAAATGAAAGTAGATAGTGTCAAAATGGTGCCATTCTTCTCAGTGGCATTGTTAAAGAGCATATTATACAATAGTTCTAATGGATACTTTCATATAAAACTGATAATGATTTGTGCCAATTCAAAGTCATTGTGTTACCTTATAAAAGAGTTTCTCTTCTCAGTTTTGGATAGATCTGCTAGTTCTAAATTGTCTGATTTAACCAGTATTTCAAACAGTAGGCTGAAGGTTTGGTGCCAATGTAAATATTTCTCCTACTCATCTCATAGAAAGTCTTATCTGATTTTGGTGCTTCATGGCTGACGAAAACATGCTCTTACATACATCAGTCATATGAGTCTTTTTTTTTCTTTTTTCTGTTTTTTTGTTTGTTTCTTTGTTTTTTAGGAGGAAAATGGCTTTTATAACAGAGCCTATTTGGTACTAGTGGGAAAAGGTACTTAAACAATGAAGAGATTGAATATAAGGAAGGAAGTTACATTCCAGTGCTAAAGAAAATATGGGTGATAAATGAAAGCGTATTACAAATATGAAATGTAATGGGTCTCATTTGTTAAAATAATTGTTAACATTATAAATTATTTTCTCTTGGGTTGTAATTTGTTTCACCTGGAAAGAAACACAATGGTTTTTGTTATGACTACTAATGACCGCAGTCATTTCTGGTGAAATGTGGCTGTACTTCAGCTACTTCCCTTTGACTTTTTGCACTTCCAGTTACAAAGAGTTTATTGATTAGTAGTTTTCAGAAGGATACTTGGAATATTCTAAGTACCGAGAATCCTGTATCCTTAAGTAACTTGAATTACACAGACAAGCAATAGAAGTACATGTAGCATATATAAATACTGTCTTTATAGCTAAAACACTACCATCATTGGAATTAGAGAACTTTTGAAAACATGAAAAGGTTCCCAGAGTTAAAGGAAATTTACAAAGCTTTTTAAACTGATCTCAGAGGATTTTTTTTATATTACATTGAAAAAAAATGGGCATATATTTACATTTTTTCCATGCCAAACAAAATTCTTCATGGATTGATTGGCATTTAGAACTAAGGTATTTACATTAAAAATATTTATGCATAAGATTTATTTTTATTTATAGTAGTAAAATGTATTGATCTGTTGCATTTGCTAATTAAATTATTAATATTTACTTCAAATGCCAAGTATCATAGTAACATTTTCAGTGTAAGCCCCTGTTTTAGGTATATTGCTAAACCAGGAAAGTCAAGTATAGTTGTCAGGAATTCAGCTTAATTACATTTTTTAATTTAAAAATTTATAAAGAAGGGTTTATCAGTGTTAGATATTAAAGATATAGAATTTTCACATAGACAATGCAAAATGATGTTTGATGTTAACGTTTTGACTACTCTGAATCACTTTTTGTTTTTCTAAAGTGATTAGACAAAGTCGTGAAGGATTCTCATTCTTAATCCATTTCAATTATTTTAGTGTCTGTCTATATTTGGAGAGTTCTTTCATTCCAGGTGGATGAAGAATAGAACCCGTATCTTAATTATAAATGTTTTTGCTTTTTTATATTTAATTTTATACTCTTGGGATTATTTAATATAAAGCTTAATTTTTAGTTAAATCTAAAACTTGTTTAGTAAGAAATATTTTCTTTCCTGAGTAATGAAAATATTTAATGTGGGCATTCGTAATGACTCCAAGTCTGCCAAATCTAATTATGTTAAATCTGTTATACTTGATAAATTTTTGTGTTAAGTCCACTGATAATTTGCCTTAAATTTAAATTTCTACTAAAGTTTGTGGTATCTTGCTTAAAACCAATGAGTGAATTTTTTGAGTTGTCCATATTAATTTCAAATTTAGGGATATACAGATTAAAAAAATTACTTTTACTTTCCATTGCTGCCTCCCAAACTAGTGTTTTATTACTCCCTTCCTAAGATTTCAAATAGTAAATCTCAGTCATACTGATAGAGATGTCAGAGAATATAAACCTTAACTCTTCTTAATCAGAAGAGATTTTTATACAAATATTCCTCTCACCTCATTTTGCTGAATCTCTGCTTTATATTATTAGAACAGAAAGCAACAATGTATCCTGAAAACAAATATAAAAGACTACTTAAATCTTTGATTTTACATTGTTTTAGTTTTATAGGTAGACACTGGAAATATCAGTATTTTCATCTGGATCTTTCATTGAGTAGTTCTTCCAAAAGTGACTACCAGACAAGTTCTAGAAACTTAATATTCTTTGTCCTCCAAGTGCATGCTCAGGTTATATCAGTGTTGTCTTTGAAGGTGCCTAGGCTTTTGTTATTTAAAAAAAAGTGTTTACATATATTGTCTTAGATTTGTTTTAAGGCATGTGTTGAATTTGTCATAATGATATAACATTTTCTGTAACCACACAGTTGGCATTCTCCTCCTAATTGCTCTGTAGCAAAATTTTACCTGTTCTTTTGTGTGGGATATATGATAAGGTAGATCGAGGTAGCGCATTTAAAATAAGCAGGTAAGGATTCGGAATTGATATTTGGACAAATTTCTGAACTGTTGACTAGTTATCATTATTCTGTTCATATTCCAAGCCACCAAATTTATTTCAAGCCGCACTGCAAGTCAGTTGTAGTTAAACAACTACAATTTCCCTCAATGTCAGTTTCCCATAAAGGCAGTTAGTATCTTTAAAACAAAAGGTTTATGCATGTAAAAACTCTTGACTAAAGTGCAGGAAAGTGATAGAAAACATGGGTCCCTTGTTTTGGTCTTGACTAGAGTTTTTAGTATTAAACCAAACAAATCCAAGTTTTCTCTTTCTTTATATGCTATAGAGATATGCTTAATCATGTGGATATGAAAAATGTTGTTTAACTTGTATAAAGTTTAAAAAGAGATAAAGTGTATATTTACTGTAACAATGTATAATGTTCTTGTTATAATGTAATTTTTTTTAAACGTAAACCAAAAAAAGCCTTTTTTTAAAAACTTGTTATAAAAATTTTTATATTTCCCTTGGAAATTGAGGTGCTTTTTGTTTATTTTGATGCTATAAAATAAATATCTTGGTACCTGACTACTTTGATAGTGAAACTTATATTCTCTTTGGAATCTGAAAGTGCTTAATTAAGCATAAGTAGTAGAGGAAGAGGAAGTGGCTTAAAACCCTGTTACCATAATAACCATTGGCATTTAAAAGAATTCCTTTAAAGATGGGGAAAGGATCATTTGTATGTGGGTCTGCTAATTTTGCTTATTTCTTCTTTCAGTTTCTTTTTCTTTATTTTCTTCATTCTTACTTCACTGTCATTCTCAGTGGGGGTAGAAGGCTTTCTTCTACCAGCAGGTGTGCCAGATTAACTTAAGGTCCAGAAGCCTTGGATGATAAACTGTGATGTTTGTGATTATTAACACCTTCAGTTATGATAGCCAAGTTTTAGTGCCAGAAGGGTCCACACCTTTTTCACTTGAGTAGAAAATCACAGACTTTCAGAATTGGAAGAGGTCACCCAGTTCTACCTGGACCTGGTCAGGAATTCCCTCCACCACATCCCTCAAAAAAAGTCATCTAGTTACCACTTGAAAATTGACGGTGATATGGAATGCACTCATTCCCAAACAGCACATTCTACTTTTGTACAGCTCTTGTTAGAGTTTTTCTTTGCGTTGAATTAAAGTCTTCCTCCGTGCAACTTTTAATCATTGCTCCTAATTCTGACCCTCTGGTGCCAAGCAGAACAATTCTGATACTCTGTCTTGATGACAGCCCTTCACAAATGCTATCTAGTCCCCTAACCACCTATTTATATCCAAGTGTTTTCTTCTCCAAGCTAAACATCCCTGGGCAAATCCAACTGTTCCAGTTTTATCCAGTCCTCTCACCAACCTGGTGATTTAGGCAAGGTGTTTGGATCATAAGTAAAGAAGATCCTTTTTAACTGTTTTTATTATTCATTGCCCATTAGGTGGTGACATTTTTACTTTGAATTTACCTTGGTTGTCTGATGGCAACAGTTGTGTCCACTCATCAAACCAATGATAGGGGAAATTAAAGAAAATTGTCCTTTTTTTTCTAGGTAATTTTTGCTTTACACACAGAAATGATCATAAATTGAATCTAATTTTGTAGTGTGGGAGGGTAAAAAAGTTTAAACTGTTTTCCTCTTTTCCAGGATAAAAAAAAACAAGACTCATTAGGACAAAGTCCTTTTAAACTACTCCTTTGAAACTCACTGAATTCAGTTCAATTCAACAAACATTTTTGAAAGCCTTTAATATGCCAGGTATTGAGCCAGGTGCTGTGAATACAAGCATAAAAGTGAAAACAGTCTCTGCCTCCAAAGACCATCCATTGTATGGATCCAGATAGATTCCTGAAATCTTAGATAGTATTGTTGACTTCTATAATTAAGCATTATTACTTTTTCAATGAGTATTGATAAATACTAATTTACCTGTACATCCTTCTAGGTTCTGTGATGATTTCTAACAAATTAAATATCCAGAAGGCTGAAGTAAAGGTAATTGGTATCTTGCTTAAAGTCTGACATAGCATAAATGATTTTAGGATCTTTTGTTGTAATAGGAGTAGCGTATTCCCAAATATGTATGAGTAGGGGCATTTGAGTCAATAAGTCACTTAACCTACCTCACTTATAAGTGAGGAGATGCTATGCTCTTATACCTGACCAGGTGAGAGCACATCTCAATCAGCCAGAGACTTTAAATATTAAAAGTTGTTGAAAGCTATTAGAATGCTGTTTATAGAAAGTCCTTTCATATTGGTTAAGGAAAGTTGATCACACCCTATGAGTTCTCAGTAAAATATCAAACCCATTTTGGAACTGAGAAGGTGAGCAGCAAGCTAGGAGAGAGTGAGTATTCCAGTCAAACCCCTGAAAAGTATTTGCTTTGGGTTGGAGGACAGTGTCTTTGCCTTGGCTTCCACTCCTGCTATGGTCAGAAGAGGGCCTTAGGTGCTTTGAAGGAGCCAAAGGATTTTGGTTTTCCCATCTTTCCATCAGTGTCCTAGCTGCATCTCCAGAAGACTTGATAGCATTGCTTGTATCAAGAGCCAAGATCAAAGTGGATGAGATGAGATAAGGCAAATGAAAGGCTCTAAAAAGAACCCAGCAGAAAAGCAACACCATACTTAAAGGGAACATCTTAAAGGCTCTAGTCAAAAGACTTCAAAGAGCTACGAGTTAGCTCTAACAGATGAGACTTCTAAACATGATCCCAATTTCCCCTGGATGCTGCATATAGGTACTTTGGAAAGACTTCTGTGGGGATTGTTTTATATCAGCAGTTCCTAGAATACCACTTTAGTAAATATCCAGTTTTAAAAACTAATTAAGTCAGCTGACTGATATCAACAGATAACCTTGAGAAGCACATTGGTAGAGTTTCATGAGCTATAGTTGTTGTTCGTATTTCGTTCCTGAAGGAGGACCATGACATCAAGGAGGTGATGCCATGACTCGCAAGTGAATTGACTTTAATTGGTCAGGGCTACGCAAAGTCACTAGCCTTACTTTCTCCTCCAGAGCCATCTGGGTCCAGTGGCAAGACAACTTGGAGATGGAGTTCAGTTGTTCTCATTACAGGTTAATTTATTGGTAATTGAACAAAGAGCTTGCTACACGGAGTTAATGTTGACAGATGATCTCGGAAGATGTGTATTCTTAGCATCCTCTACTCCCTTTTCTACCCTTCCACCACTCTCTCTCTGAAAGCAAAAAAGAGACTACATTGGATTAAGTGCCATTTTTTTCTGTTTTGTGAGTTACCACGGTTACTAAATAATTTTAAAAGAAGTAAAGGAAGAATAAATAATTGAGGAGAAAGATGATGTGATTTGTTGGTTGAGCCAGTAATAGAAAAATGTCTATATGTAACACAGGAAAAGGAGGTTTGGGGAAAATTAATTTATAGATTAAATATAACGCCAATCAAAACTAACATGGTAGTACTTCAAAGAATTAATAATATTTATGGGAAAGAAAAAAATGCTTTATAATTTCAAAGGTAATTATGGGGAAAGGAAGAAGAGAAGCAGGGTTTTGC